GGTCCAGTGGGTCCAGTGGGTCCAGTGGGTCCAGTGGGTCCAGTGGGTCAAGTGGGTCCAGTGGGTCCAGTGGGTGAAATGGTACATAATGATGATGATACATAATGATAATAATACATGATGATGATGATGATGATGATTCATGATGATGATGAAACATGATGATGAAGATACATAATGCTGATGATGCATGATGATGATGATGATTCATGATGATGATGAAACATGATGATGAAGATACATAATGCTGATGATGCATGATGATGATACATGATGATGATGCATGATGATGATCATGAGGATAATGACGACACATGATGATGATGATGGTACAGGATGATAATGATGATGATTCCTTACCTCTGATCCAAAGAAAGTACAAACCGAATATGTTGTGAGTTGGTAAGCTCACATGAAGCGGTGTTGTCTTGATCGACGCAAACGTTCACCCCAAACACAGCGATTCGAGAGAGCATTGGGCACGACATGTTCTATCGTCGGCGATTGGTTGGATTGTACGAATCGTGCGATTGGTTAATTTGAACCCGGAAGTCGTTTTTCGTTCGAGTTACGTCACACTTCTCTATAGCTTTTATCTAGGTTCTTACTGCGATGCTCAGTGCCTAAGGAAATGCCGTGGTTGTATCAATAACAACTGTCAAAAATGTCATGCATCGTTGCTTAGTAAATTCTCAAAGCATCATAGCACTACATGAGTGTTCCCGCTAACTGATTCACAGGAGGTCCCACACTGATTCACAGGAGATCCCACACTGATTTACAGGAGGTCCCACAATAAAAACAGAGAAGAACAAAATAGCCGCGAAGGACTTTACTGCGTTTTTCGATATTCTGTGAACTCTTTAGTAGCAAGCAAAACGCTGCAATTTGTTTTTTTTCGCTGTCAATCAAAGATAATTAGTCCTTACCTTTTATGTTCTTGACTGGAGCCAGTAAAAATCAACTAGTACTTGATAACAAGCCAGAATATCGAAAACCACAGTAAAATAAAATATAGTCCAAGGGGCACTCATTCCATGATCGAATTGCAATTTTATGAACTAAAGCTCCTTAGAAACTTGGCTTCGCACAGTAAGAGATGCATCTTCTTCAGTTCTTGTTTCTCTGATAATATATTACAAACTAATGATAGATTTTTATACAGCTATTTAAGAAAGTTTGGTGAAGGCTCGCTATATGGGCAAGGTGAAGTCAGTCAGCGAAAAGACCACAGCAATATAGAAACTCAAGTTCCCAAACTTTGTGTGCACGTTTTTTTCGGGATAATTAATATTTCTGTGCTGAAATCATTTACACATGAACAAGCTTAGCAAGTAACATACTGCATGCAACATACTGCATGCAACATACTGCATGCAACATACTGCATGCAACATGCAACATGCAACATGCAACATGCAAC